CCTCCAGTATTCTTCATTCAAAAGTCAAAATGACTTTTCCTTTTCCTGAGAACTTTTTTCTGAAGAATGTTTCACGCTGAGCAGTTATGCTGGTGACATTTGTATGAGTGATTCTTTATTTTGTATTGAAAGGTATTTTCTCTGTGTGTAATATCCTAGCTTAATCTTGTTTTCCTTTCCCTCCACCTGCCATCAGTAAATAAAAGTGTTGTTTTCTGGCTTGCATCATTTCTGATGAGAAGTAAGCCTATTTCTCCTTCTTTCCTTGTATGCAATATCTGTAGTGGTCTGTATGGAATGATTTTATCTTTACCGTTAGTTTTCAACAATATGGTGATGATATTTTTCTTTGTTTATTCAGCTATTCTGTTATTCTTTGTTAAGTTCTGGCTTTGTGGGTTTTCAAACTTGGAAACATTTGCCCATTATTTCTTCAGATATATTATTATGTTGCTTCTACCCACTACACTGCCAACATAGTCCTTCTGGAAGCCCATTCATGTTAATGTTAGACCACTTGACAAGGCTAAATGTTGTCCAACATTAAAAAAAACAATTTAAATATATTTTATTTGATGTTCTAGTTGTTTAAGGTGGGAACGTATATTCTCTCCCTGTTACTCTATCAGAGCCAGAAACATTCTGCCTTCTCTTTTTCATTTTTGAAGGTATTTTTCCTCTGGGAACGGAATTCTCATGTGGCAGCTTAGTTTTTTTCTTTTGCCACTTTCAAGATGCCATTCTATTGTTTTCTGGCTTCCATAGCCTTTGAAGAAAAGTTTGCTGTGATCCTTACCTTTGATACTGTCTACAAAGTATATTTTTTTCTCCAGCTGCATTCAAGGCTTTCTTTTTCTTTGGTTCTGAGCAGTTTCAATATGATGTGCATAGGCATTGGGGGTTGAGTAAGAAGGATATTTATCTTGCTTGCAGTTCTTTGGGACTTGTAGACATCTGGCAGATGTCTTTTCTCATTTTTGAAAAATTCCCAACCATTATCTTTTCAAATATTTATTCTACTCTATTTTCTCTCTCTTCTCCTGAGATTCCAATCACATATAGGTTCATCCAGGCAAAACTGGACAAGACACCTTAGGAGGGAGGGCGCCTGGGTGGCTCAGTTGGTTGAACACCTGGCTTCGGCTCAGGTCATGCTCTCACAGTTCGTGTGTTTGAGCCAACATCAGGCTCTGTGCTGACAGCTCAGAGCCTGGAGCCTGCTTCAGATTCTGTCTCCCTCTCTCTGACCCTCCCCTGCTCGTGTTGTCTCTCTCTCTCTCAAAAATAATTAAAAATACATTTTAAAAAAAGGCACATTAGGAGGGAATCCAGGAGATGAACTAAAATATTTCTAAAGTATTCTAAACTACTCTACCACATGTACAGAGACAGGGGAGCAGGGAACATCTAGGTGATCAGGTAACAACGAGACCATCATTGTCAAAGAAATCATCTTTTTTTTTTTTTTTGGTAAATGGGGAGCCTCTTTGGCTACTGGCTGGAATCGGCCTATTTTTTCCACTGACTTTAAAATCAGACTTTACTAGGACAGCATTCATACCAAGCTATTAGCTGGACAAAGGGAATAAATGCTCGGGTCACCTATGATTGTCTCCTTTTACACAATTACATGGTTTTCACAATTTAACTATATGTCTTAGAGAAAATTCCATATTAGTTCACATAGAACCACCTCATTATTTTTCAAGACTTCATTGAAATATGCTGTTAAATGGATATAAGCTAATTTATTTCATCTTTACCCAACTACTGGACATCTAGAACATTTTTAAACTTGTTGCAATTATGACAAATATTTCAGTTAACATTATTATTTTTTAATGTTTATTTATTTATTTTTAAGAGAGAGTGCGCATGAGTAGGGGAGGGGCAGAGAGAGAGAGAACTCTAAGCAGGCTCTGTACTGTCAGCACAGAGCCCGACACAGGGCTCAAACTTACAGAACGTGAGACCATAATCTGAGCCTACCATGACACCCAGCAGCCCCTCAGATCACACTCTTGAGCCTGTGTATTTTGTATCATTTTTTTTTTTAAAGATTTTTTTAAAGCAATCTCTACATCCAACATGGGGCTCGAACTTACAACCCTGAGATCAAGAGTTACATGCTCTACTGACTGAGCCAGCCAGGTGCCCCTGTATTTTGTATCATAAGCAAGAATCGTTGGGAGATTTTGTTGTTATTGTTTTGATTTTTCTTTTTTCAGACCTCAGTTGTACCTGATCGAGTCTACCATGGTCCGCAATTACAACAGAGCATGATTATTACCCACACATAAACTTCTCTTTAACTTTTCCTTTTTTTGATCTTATTACTGTTTTTCATTGTCCTCTTCCTCACTGCCATTATTCTCACCCCAGGCATCCACCCTCTTGTGTATAATGTGTGTCTGTCCCATCCATCCTTCACTGTTCATTTACAACATAATGTATATCTTCAAACAAATGTTGTTGTCTGAGGTATTATTATATTTATATGCATCAATTATGCTTTAAATTCATGCTTTTTCTTATTTTTAGGCACAGTTTCAAAGCACTGCATGTTGCTCTATGTAGATCTAGCTCATTTATTCTGACCACTCCATGGACTCCAAACCTATATAATGACGGCAGAAGGAATATCTCCAGCAGCAGAAGAGTTGGCTCAAAGAGTTTACACTTAATGGGGCGCCTGGGTGGCTCAGTCGGTTAAGCGTCCGACTTTCGCTCAGGTCACGATCTCGCGGTTCGTGGGTTCGAGCCCCGCGTCGGGCTCTGTGCTGACTGCCAGCTCGGAGCCTGGAGCCTGTTTCAGAGTCTGTGACTCCCTCTCTCTCTGACCCTCCCCTGCTCATGCTGTCTCTCTCTCACCTAGAAATAAATAAAACATTTAAAAAAAAAAGAGTTTACACTGCTACAATCAGGTTAGATTGTGCTAAGATATTTTCAACACAGTTGTACTAATTCTCAGTTACAATAGCAGTGTAAGGGTTTCTGTGTCCTAACATTCTTTCCAGAAATAGGAATTATCAAATATTTTAGCATTTACTAGCCTGCTGAGTGAAAACAGTATTTTCTTGTCTTTCAAACTTGCATTCACTTAACTATCAATCTCCATGAGCCTAGTATCCTTTACTTACCGGTCACTGTTTCTTTTTCATCATATATTTCTTGTTCTAATAGAAAGCCTTCCAATGTCCTCAGCTGGGCAGCATTATTGGAATTTCAAATTCACAACTTGGGTGATGATAAAAGTTGAGGTCATCAGTGAGTATCAGTGATTTATCTATTTTTAAAAGCCTGTGATGGTTTGAGCAAATTAAAAGCTTATGTGCCGGGGCGCCTGGGTGGCTTAGTCGGTTAAGCGTCCGACTTTCGCTTGGGTCATGATCTCGCCGTTCGTGGGTTCGAGCCCCGCGTCAGGCTCTGTGCTGACTGCCAGCTCAGAGCCTGGAGCCTGTTTCAGTCTGTGACTCCCTCTCTCTCTGACCCTCCCCTGCTCACGCTGTCTCTCTCTCTCTCCTAGAAATAAATAAAAAAATTTAAAAAAAAAAAAAAAAAGCTTATGTGCCTCATGGGTCCCGGGGCCAATAAAATTGTTTGGATGGATGGCTGTGCTGTAGAATGGTAGACTGTGGGCATGAAATCAAGTTACCCAAAACGTACGACCAAGAGTCACCCTGTTACAATTTAGCTGAAAAGGGGCCATTTCAGCTTAATTGTGATGCAATTACTGGCTCCTCCTCATCTCAAAACCCAGCCATGCCCACGTGCTGCTCATCAGGCATAGTTAACTTGTCTTGGATCTTTGTGGAGAGTTGGACACATGACATGTCATGACACCTCTAGTACATTAGAAGGACTTCTCTGAGCTTCTTCACTCCCCCTTTCCAGCCAGACTTCTCTTTATTGGGGATAGAATACCTTCCCTCTAGAAAAGTCCTCAGGCCTCCTTCCCCTTTGTCAGTCTTTGTTGATTGGCCCTAATGGTCCATTAAGGCTCCACCTCCTTCACTGACCACTTGGCATTTGCCTGATGTCACATCTTCAGAGTCCGAAAGGCAGGCAAGGGAGGTGAAGGAGAGGACAACGTGGGAGGAGGAAGGAGGCAAGACAGCCAATCAGCGTCACACGGCAACTGTTACAAAGAGACTGAATTAGACCCTGGTCCTTTTTTTTTTTTTTTTTAATGTTTTTTATTTATTTTTGAGAGTCAGAGAGAGACACCGTGAGCAGGGGAGGGTCAGAGGAGAGGCGGAAGGGATGTCCAAATCTGTGCTTCTCTTTACCCTGGTCACACGGTTCAGTCACCAATTCTAGTCCCCTTCAAGTTCAGTGGGGCCCTGCTCAGGCTCAGCACCCCAAATATCCTCCCCGAGCCTTTACACCGCCCCTCCCCCAGTATCTGTGTGAAGGATTCGAGTAAGTGCTCAGAGGCCGCGGAAGGTGGTGGGGCCACTATATGAAAGGATACTGAATCCCCGAATGACCACGTGGAGCAGAAGAGTCTTGGCTTTCAAATGATGAGAGAGAAAGGAAGCTGCCTTGCACGAACGCCCTTCTGGTTATTACCTATGATTGCATAACAAGCCATTTCAGAACGTAGGGACTTAGTACCGCAGCCATCGCTAACTGCACGCATTCTGGACATGGGCTGCACTTAGCTGGGTTGCCGCTCTGCCGCTCTTGCTGCTGGTGACTCGTGCATTCGGCACATGCAGCGGGTGGGTTGGCTGGGGGCTGGGTTCAGGCCCTGGGATGCAGGCCTTCTCTCTTTTTCCGTGTTGTGGTAGGACCTCTCCCCTGCACGTGGCCTCCCCTGCGGTCCTTCGTCGGTTCTCAGGTTGGTTCTGGGTGTTCTCAACAGCACATCCGGCTTCTCCTACGGAGATCGCAGCTCCCGAGAGTCTGAACGTGGAACCCGCCAAACTTCTAGAGCTCAGGCTTGGAATGGACCCAGCATCACTTCTAGCTCATTCTATAGATTAGCGCAAGTCCCAAGGCGACACAAGAGTGTGAGTACTGAGGCGTCTCTTCTTGGGGGGCCCCGACAGGGCAGATCCCACAGCTACTGGTTGGTTACACCGGCTGCCTACGCTCACAAGTCAATGTCAACAGGTCAGTGTGTCCCAAAGCTCTCCGTCTCTTACCGTCTTCACATTTTCGCATGTTCTGTATGCCATCTTTAAGAGTATTGACTTAATGTTTCCTTAAACCGGTTAACTTAAAATACAGATTCATGGGGCACCTGGGTGGCTCAGTCGGTTAAGTATCAGACTTCAGCTCAGGTCATGATCTCATAGTTCATGAGTTCGAGCCCTGGGTCAGGCTCTGTGCTAACCGCTCAGAGCCTGGAGCCTGCTTGGATTCTGTGTCTTCTTCTCTCTCTGTCCCTCCCCCACTCACCCCCGTCTCTCTCAAAAGTAAATAAACATTAAAAAATTTTTGTAAAAAATGAAAGTAGTCCCCACACACAACATGGGGCTCAAATGCAGAGCCCCCAAATCAGGAGTGGCACGCTCTAGCAACTGATTTGTAACCTCCAACTTGGGGACCTTGGAAGTCCGGCTGGGAATGTTGCCAAGAAAGGTCGCCTCTCGAAGGACCTCATTCTTGGGGTCCTATGGTCATGCTCTGTGAAGCAACTGATACCCCAAATAAGAGAGCCTCATTCTGTAATGGGTGCTGCTTTTCAGCTATGCCTCCCCTCCCCCACCCGGCCTTGGGACCAGACCCAGACTGAGAATCTGCATGCGTGAGACCCCCACAGGCGCTTCTGACCGGGTGGGCCCAGGCCAAGTTTGGAGCAGTCTGATTTTAATTTACGACTTGTCAATGGAGGCTCAGAGTGTTCACCAAGTTCCCCAGCAAGTCTTACTCCCACCTACTGTGCGGTGGGCTGTGGACCGGGGACTGGAATACGGAGATGAAGGAAGGAAAGGGGCGAGCTCTCAGTGTGTAGTGAAGCCCGGACAGCAGGAGCCCCCACCCATCCCGCCTCCCCCAAGGATGGGACTGGGTGGCTCTGTGGGCTGCCGGTGCCCTCTAGTGGTCATCTTTAGGAACTACAGGCACATCCCTCGGGGAACCCTTGATTCTTGGTTGGTTCATTAGTGGCCATTAGGGCCACTTGTAACTGGCAGGAAGTAGAGTTTGATCAGCGGTGCCTCTTCATGCAGTTAATTGGGTGATGTGGAAAGCTCAGGAACCCCGGAGTCAAAGAGCCCTGTGTTCAAACCTTCTTCCTTCATGGTCTGTCCCCATACATTTAACTTTGCTGAGTCCCAGTTTTCAGAGCTGCAAAATGGGAATAAGAGAAGGCGAATCTCCCGCTCATGGGAGATCTTGAACTCATTCTGTACCCTCCCTCCTTGATGCTGTGTTTGTGGTCCCCCGGCTCCTCCACCACCTTCTAGGATCCATCTTTGTCTTTGGAGACAATGGTCCACCCCAGATGTGGCTGAGAAGGCTGAGTGTCCTCCGTGAAGGCAAAGACCAGTATTCCCTCAAACAGAGACTGGCCCCTGTGTGGCCCTAGCCCGGCCTACAGGAGGCCCCTGACCTTGTCCTGGTGGTGGAGGGGGTGCTCCAGTCCCTGCTGCTCACCCCCCTCCCTTACCATCCTTACACTCCCCCTCCTTCCTCCGCTCGTGCAGTGTCTTCTGCAGTGTGGGGAGCTGGGAAATTGGGTTTCCAAACGTGCATCACCCCAATTGTTCTGCTTTGTGCTTATCACAGGTTTTTGAACTTGAAAGACATAGATGTGAGGGTCGCCTGGGTGGCTCAGTCAGGTAAGCATCTGACTTTGGCTCAGGTCATGATCTCACGGTTCATGGGTTCGAGCCCTGCGTCAGGCTCTGTGCTGACAGCTCAGAGCCCAGAGCCTGTTTCGGATTCTGTGTGTCCCTCTTTCTCTGCCCCTCCCCTGCTCATGCTCTGTCTCTCTCTTTCTCTCAAAAATAAATAAACACTAAAATAAATTTTTTAAAGGCATAAGTGTGGGATTTGGGGTTCTGATCCCACAGTGACTGCACCGTGGGTGCGCCAGGTGGAGCTGGAGGGCTGAGTGGGGAGCGCAGCCCTCCAGGTAGGAGTGAGACCACGCAGGGGTGCAGAGCTAAGGGAACCGCATCAGCTGCTAGGTGCAAGGTCTCCTTGCAGAGGCACACGAAGGGCCAGTGAGCGTTTGCAAGGAAAGCTATCCCATCTTCCTTAAAAATAGCTCGTTTGACACACGTTTTGTTTTTTACTTCAGATGGAAGTTTCTTTTGTTGTTTTCTCTTCGAAAAGCATGCAGAGAAACATGGCAGACCGCGGAGGCCGTTAGCAAACGGTCACGGTTGCCTGCGGACAGCTGTCCTGGGCTGGCACCTGCCGGGGGTAGAGGATCCTGCGGGACTGCGTGGCCCTGCACCGGGGAGCACCGGGGAGCCACAAACACACCTACAAGGAAAGGCGTAAACCACCGGCGCTGGGACGGGCTGAGCCCCGGGGGCACCCAGGGCAGGAGCCACGCAGCTCTGCGCCCATAGTGTCCCCGTCAGCCTGGAGCCCAACAGTTGAGTGCGGCCACTGGAGACCGGGTGGTTGTCACATTCATTTAGGGTCTGGTCAGCCTTTGCCACCTGGCAGGATGCTGGCTGTGGGTTAGGCAAGGTCCGAGCGCAGGAAGGCCCCAGCAGCGGTGCTTTCCCGCCACTCTTGTCTTCTTGTCTGGAGAAGGGGTCAAGGGCATTGGAAGCTCATGGGGAGCCAGAGTGGAGCTCCCGCAGCCAATGCCAGTCTGCCCAGGGCAGGATGGGGAGGTGCGGGGGTCTGCTCGGTGGGGGTTCACAGCGGAGCAGTCTGAGCACCCCTGGGCTCTTTCTACCACAGGACCTTAGCACTTGCCACTCCTCTGTCTGGGATTTCCTGTCCTGGGTTTCCTGTGGCTGGCTCCTTTGCATCCTCTGGATCTTAGCCCAGCTGTCACCTCCCCAGAGACAATCTGGTCATGGCCAATTCTGCTGCCCCCTCTACTCCATTTCCTATCTGTTTTTCCCTTATAGCTCACAGCTCTATTCGAAGGCTGTGTGTTTGTTTCTGTCACTCGGTGCTTGGAACTGTATCAGTTCTTAGACACAGTGCTTGACCCTCTTAGTTTCCTATGTCCTCAGTCCGCAGGACGGCTTCTGACAGATACAAGCCCACGATACAAATGTGCTGAACGAATGAATATCTTCACCCTTAAGATCTCAGGTTACCCCAGATTTCTCTTCCTTCCATAATCTTCTCTTTGGGTTCCTTAAAAAAGAAAAATAGAGCCGTATTACAGCAAAAAAGAAAGATCTGAAGAAATAACTGCCTCACTGTAAACATTCTCCACGGATTATTCACCTCCTCGTCCAGACCCTGGCATGGTAAATGCTATTATTTTTCAAATGCCTTCTTTTTGTTTTCCTAACTATAAAACCTAAGCAAGTTCTCACATAGAAATCATGCAAAGTGCCTGATAGAACAAAGAAGGAAACAGAAATTGCCTTCAATCCCAAAGACAAAGAGAAAAGCACTCTTAGGCTTGGTATCCAATGTGCATGTACATTTTTAAAAATACGTCTCCGATTGCCTGTTGTATTTCCTGACTTTTTCACTTAACATTACATCAGTGAACGTTTGCCCCTCTCATTACAAAGTTGTTTTAGGAAATGTTTTTAATTGTTGTTCAACAGTGCATCCTACCACTTTATGGTTCTACTCTTACATCAGGTTCCTGATGTACTTTGAGGAGCATCCTGTGTGTCTGAGATTTTGTCCCTGCCTGAGATTATTTCTGTTATGGATTAAATATCTGTGTCTCCCTCAACATTCCTATGTTGGAATCCAGACTGAGGGGAATTTGGGGAAGTGATCACCATTAGATGAGGTCATGAGGGTGGGGTCCTCCTGAACGGGACAGAGTGCCCTGATGAAAGTCACAGAAGCGGGGCGCCTGGGTGGCTCCGTCGGTTAAGCGTCCGACTTTGGCTCAGGTCATGATCTTACGGTTTGTGGGTTCAAGCCCCGCATCGGGCTCTGTGCTGACAGCTAGCTCAGAGCCTGGAGCCTGCTTCAGATTCTGTGTCTCCCTCTCTCTCTCACCCTCCCCTACTTACACTGTCTCTCTCAGAAGTAAATAAAACATTTAAAAAAAAAAAGTCACAGAAGAGCCTGCTTCTCCTCTCTGTTCTCCACTGTGTGAGGATACAATGAAAAGACAGCGACCCAAGAAGATCCTCCCCAGTCACCAGATCTGCTGGTACCTTGATCTTCGACTTCCCAGCCTCCAGAAATGCAAGACATAAATGTTTGCTGTGTACGCACCCCCGTCTATGGTAATTTATTCTAGCAGCCCAAACAGACTAAGACATTCCCTGTGGCTATCCTTGCAGACGCCACACTGGTGTAAAGGATAAGAACATTTTTCAGGCTCTAAATCCACACTGTTCTCCAAAAAAGTTGTGCCAAATTAAATGTCCGTCAGCACATCTGTGATCTAGCCAATTAGTTCTTTGCATGCAAACTTTTTGAAGCTCTCTATGTGCATTTCAGGAAGGCCACAAACCTCACATAAGAAACGCTGTGTTATGTAAACAGCAGGAATGGATAAGCTTAAAATAAAACCAAATAACACAGCTGGTTCAAATATAAGAAAAACGTCTCCATGGGCCAGAATCAGAAGAGAAATTCCTGGTGAATTTATAAGGCCATGTGTAAGAAGGAATGGCTGAGAGTTCAAGTTCTATAACATGAAGGGACTGAAGAGGTCTCCTAAGGCAGGTGCAAGGTCAGGTTCATTGCTCAAGGCCAGAGGTCTGGAGACATCCTGGTGCCCTTGAAAGGGGGTTGGGATACTCTACAGCCTGGTGTGCCCTACTTCTGTGCTCTCAATCTGGGATTCAAATCTCCTTTAAGGTTCTTTTTACCTCCTTCTGGCCCATCTCTCGTTACTCCAATCTCCAATTAGAATCAATGCTTCTAAATAATAAACTTCCCCTTTCAAATTCCTGGGCGTTTCCTGTCTCGAGTGGACCCTGAATAATTCACAAGGCTTTGACTTGGCCAGGAGAAAGACAGAAATATGAATTCACCGTTGGCGCTTTTAGAAAAGTTAATTGTGTAATTGAAAAAGTGCAGTTTTCAATGCACAACCGCACAAATGAGCAACCGCTGAAAGAATGGAAGTACAACATATAGCCTCTCAATTAGCAGAAGGGGGAAAAAAAAGAATATAGAAAACTTTATTGAGACAACAGGAGACATAAAAATATTAACGTGATCATGATTGAAAAAGCTGTTAAGGAACTGAAGAATCATGCTTCTTGAATGTATTTCACTGTATAATTTCAAATATGCAAAACAATATTATATGTTGTTTATTGATGCCCAAATTAGTAAATGCATAAATTCTTGGCAGTCACTGACTCTGGAGAGGGGATAAAATGTACAGGATTAGGCTGTGGTCCCCTGGGGTTGTACTCAAATCTATGCTTTACTTGTTAAAAAAAAATTGAAGCAAATACAACATAATGTTATGATCTAATAACGCTGGGTGATGGATATGAACTATTCTCTATTGTTGCTACGTATGAAATACTTACTACACAATTCAAACATACAATAAGACACCTCTATGGGTTAAAGCTGCTTGTAAGTCAAGGGGGAAGGCTATTCAAGGCACAAATGGGAAACTTGACTGATATTTCTTGATTTGAATTGGAGCGACCTTGCAACTGAATTATGCTGAGGCTTGCATTCTCCTTTGATGGGAAAATAATTCCCGTTAGAGTTTTCTTTAGAGTTTTGGGGAGGTTAAGGATGGAAAGGAGAGAGCTCAATAATTCCCACCTCTAGGTTTCTGGTACAGCCTCCTTTGTATGGATTTTGGATGCTTTTGCCTCTTTCTAAACCTCGACCCAGTCTCAACTCATGCCATTCGTCTCTACGCTGTGCCTACTCTGCAGCAATGGCAAGCGTCTTCTTGGTCCTGACATGCCATGCTGCTCTGTGCCTCTGGGCCTTTGCACATGCTGTCCCGTCCACTGGCAATGTCATTTCCCTTTCCCTTCCTGGCAGGCTTATTTGACAGATAAAGCATCCTCCTCTCTGAAACCTTCACCAGCCCCCCCCCACCGAGTGGAGTTAGTTACCCCTCACTCCACATTCTCAAAAGACTTTGCTAAGCCCCGCCCCTTCCGTCCATAAGACACATGTACATACAATGCATGCTTGAGGTCCCTCCTACATCAGCGCTCTTCCAAGGCAGAAGCCGCATTGTTAAGGCACAAAGTTATGCATTATCCCTACTGCTCATTGAGCAGCAGGCACAGATTACACGTAACCATGTGAGCAGTCACCTTCTGTCCCGTAAGTGAAGGAGTCCCGTCTCTGGCAGTTTTAGCAACTCGCTAAGGTCATACAGATGGAAAATGGTAAAGCCCAGATGAAAGATCTGCGTTTGCCTGACTCTAAACTCATTCTGTTTTATGCTACCTCTGGGCCTTACTCATCTCTGGGTTTCCAGAATTTGGGACACAGCCAAGTGCATAGTAGGCCCTAATAAATATTTGATGAATGAATGAAAGAATAACTGAATGCATGAGTGAGTGAGCAAGCCCAGAAGCCGAGAAACCGCTGGAGGGAGAAGGTATTTTATGCAGACTGCGTACCAGAAGGAACACGTTTATAACTTGTGTGTGGAGCGCAGATAATATAAATTTGCGGATTATTCCTACTCTGCATTTTAATAAGTTTACCAAAAAGGGCGCCTGGGCTAGAAAACAGTGCATTTCCTTACTGATGAAAATAATTTAAAATCTAATACAAATGACCTCAAAGAAGCAAACCGAGCAAGTGCAAGAAACAGCGGAAGATGAAACGTAGAAACGGAGGTAAGACAAATAGGATCTGAAATATTTGGGTCTTATAAATGAGAAGCCGAAGAACAAAGGCTGCTCGCTTTAGCTTCGCTTGGCAGGGAAATTAAAAAGGCAAAGAACAGAGCAATGATGCTTGGATTCTTAACAAAGTATATGTGGTGTTTCAAGGGGTTCTTTCATCTGGAGACCTCAAAGCATTTGGCAAATTCTTCTACCTCTTGCTGAGAAAGGAAAGAGCTCCAGGTGAGCCCTGAGGAACAACAGGGAATCTGTGGAGGGGCTGAGGCTGACATTTAGTTGGGCAAGAACGTGTGTGCTGTCTCTAAAATGATGCATGAGCCACTGTTCTGCTGATGGGCTCATTTATTCTGCATCATAGGGCACAAAGGACCCGCCCTGACCTTGGGGGCTGGGGCGCCACCTGACAGAGCCACCCACACTGGCTCTGGCACTTTCTACTTTGCAAACTCCAGACATGGCAGTGGCTTCCCTGCTTTGAGTCATTTCCTCATCTAGGTGCCCATTATATGTGATGTTATTAGTTCTCGTTTTATCAATGAACAAAACAAGTCTTCGAGAAGGGAACTGCCCAAGGTCACAGAGGTTAAGAAGTAATGGTACTGGAGGCTAAACTCTGGCCTCTCTGACGCAGTCCCATATGGTCCCCCACTCCTCTATTCCGTGTCCCTGCCTCCATCTTCTGCCAGCACAAAGATGGCACAGAGGGGATGTTGTGGAATGTTATAAAGATGGAAGGAGATGGCCACGTCGGGGCCCCGCTGGGTCACAATTTGCAGCTCACTAGCCTGGCGAAGAAAACAAAGCCAACCTATTTTCATAGATATTTTTAAAAATGCTAAACATGCCTATTTAATCAACAGTTTGGGCTCTATGGTGACATGCTCAGCATTTACACTTAGAATTACCACTTGGTACTAATAGGCACTCTGTACACAAGTCCTTAGAGTCGACACCCAAATTATTGTCCCACACTGGTCATTGGTAACTTACAAGATGATCAATTTTTAAACTCTGCTGGTTTTTCTAAAGCAACACATGTACATTTTAATAAGCGCCTCCCAGGAAGATGTGATAACTGTAAGAATTAAGAACCCTAGGTGCCAACTAGTTGGGGGAGATTTGAGCTGCAGGAGGGGCTCTTTCAAAGCAGGGCGGCCTTGCTCCTCGCTCTGTGAACATCTCTTCCCATGCAGAACACAATGCTGACCACTAGGTGGCGGGGTTGTAAAGCCAAAGACCCAAGGCAGACAGACTCCAGAGCCAGAATCTCCAGTCCGAACCAAGAGATCACAGCAAAGCTCACTTTATGACAACTTTGAAGGAAACTTCCTTCACTTGTAAATAAATTCTTCTTTTGTAACAAAGAGCTCAGTGTTCAATTCAAACCTCATATTTCCTTCACCTGAGTAAATTCCTGTTGGTCTCCATCCATCTATCCACTAATTCATCCATCCACCCAACCCTCCATTCATCCATCCATCCACCCATCTATGCATCCATGCATCCACCCACCCACCCATCCATCCGTCCATTCACCCATCCATTCATCCAACCACCCACCCACCCATTCACCCACCCATCCATCCACCCACCCACCCATCCACTCACCCATCCACCCACCTATCCACCCATCCACTCACCCATCCATCCACCCACCCACCCATCCATTCATCCACTCATCCATCCACCCACCCACCCATCCATTCATCCACTCACTCACTCATCCATCCATCCATCCTTCTACCCACCCATCCATCATATCCTTCCATACACTCACTAAATATGTGTGAACACCTTGTGTGTACCAGATACTGTGCTCAGCACTGGGGATAAAGCAGTGAATAGACAAACCTAGAATTCACTCTCAATGAGTTTATATCCAAATGGGGAAAGAGAATCATTAAACCAAAATCAGACAAATAAATAGACAATCATAACTGGGTATGGTTATGAGTCAGAGCCTCACATCACCCCCAGGGCCTGACTCCTGATGAATGCATTAACTAAGTCAAAAGATCTTGAAGATCTTTGAAAGAAGTATGGTGAGGTCAAAGCAGCCCTGCAGCTGGTAAAGAGCAGGGGGAGAGGATAGAGACTTGGCAGGAACCGAGTCACGGAGAGTCATGGAGAGGCTTATTATTATCATTAGGGTTTCCTTTGTGTGCAGTGGGAAATCTTGGGGTGATGTCCATCCTCTGAACCTGCCCCGCAGCCTCACCTCCCCTGTGACCCTCACACTGTAGCCGTCAGGTGTTTCCACGACAGGGCCTTTGCCCACGCTGTTTTCCTCCCTTGGATCCCTTTACTGCTTGGCCTGGGCATGCACTTGAACTCACTTTCCAAGTCATCACTCAGATTCTGTCCTATGCACTCCTCAACCTGGCAGTGGGAGGAAGGTCAGGCTCGCAAAAGCTCCACACTGGCAGCGGACTGGGGCTCCAGTAAGGAGTCCCCCCGTGAGACAGCAGGGGATTGAGAGGGGGTGGGGCAGACAGGGGCAGCGCTGGGTGTGAAGGATGAAGTCTGAGTCGGGCAGAGGTCAGGAAAGGGATCGCTGAGCACCTATTTGGAATGCGCCCTAGCAACTCTCGTTTTTTTTCTGTACCAGCAGGACAGGAGCTGCTTATCTGATGCATAAGCTGAAGAAAAATACGCAAACAAGACTGAATGTAACACAGGAAATTAAAAACATCAAACAAGACTCCTCAAATGCGGATCGCGTTCTCTTGATCACTTCAAGGGGCTTTGCTGAAGTGTCATTTTTTTGTTGTTGTTGTTGTTGTTTTGTTTTTGACAAGCCTTTGCACAGACAATGGAAGGTAGGTTTCCTCTGGTTTCTGAGCAGGTTCCATCACAGAGGTACCTCTGATGCCCTGGGGGCGCCCACTGGCAGCCCCTCCTTTCCCCCCAGCTTTGCTTTTCTTGCTCACAGGCTGAGGACAAGGTTAACCTACAGGACAGCCACCAGTAGAGGCTGTTATGAGGCCAAAATGGGTTTGGGGATGTGACAGGGCTCTAGGCGTCACTTTCCAAGTTCAAACATCAAAATTACACTTTTTCAAAACGATCCCAGTTTGTTCCACCCTCCTTCTGTTTTTGCCTTACCCTCCAGTGATGCAGAGAGTTTAGATTTAGGTGAGAAGCAAGGCTAAGGCTACGGTCAGGTTAGCGAATGTACTGGCTTGATTAGGAAGTTGACGAGTGCAGAATTGGGGTGGATGGAGGGACCGAGGGCTGGGAAGAAAGCTGAGTAGATGTGTTGATCCTCTGCTTCCTTCCAGAAAGTTCTAGGCAGCTAGGCAGGAGGGATTATAAAGGGAGCTGTGGAAGTAGGAAAAGCCATATGGATCTCCCTGAGCTCTGTGATGCTCTGTGGTGCTTCTCGATCATCAGAGAGAGGGGACAAGCCCAAACAGAGCCAGGGCATAGTAGTGAGATCAGGCGTCCCCCTCAGGCAGACTCAGGTTTAGTTTCCAGAGTTGTCTACCTAACGTTGGAGTCTTTGGTAAGAAAATTCCATCTCTATAGAACTCTACACGTGATGACACCTATCTTGCAGTGTCAGGTATAAACTGCATGAAATCACTCCTGTACAGTGTTTCACGCAGTGGGTATTATGATGATGACCACAGAACCCATCCCAGGTCTGGGCATCTGGCTTGTCCAACCCAGACCATGACCATGCCTGGCATGTCTAATGAATTATGGGTTGAACCAGAGCAGCCCTGAACCCCTCAGTCCAACTGCATCATTTTACAGATGGGAAGATTAAGGCTCAACATGGGGAGGGACTCACCCAAAGTAGTGGCCTTCCTTTGACACAGGATTTTCCCCATGGCGATCCCTCATGAAAGCTGAAAGAGCTACTTCAAGTGAGACCAATCAGCAGAGCCGATTTATGTTACCTGCTTGCACGGATCATCCTAGCAGTGACCACCATTTACTGAGTGCTCATTGCATGCTAGGCAGTGCATTAGACACTCTCCAGGAAGTACTGCATCCTGTTTTCCCATGGCCTCTGAGGTGGATGCTCTTATACTGATTTCCCAAATGAGGGAGCTGAGGTTCAGAGAGGTTACATTTTCTCGCCAGAGATCGCACATCCAGGAAGTGATGAGTCTGGAGCGAAATCACAGCCAGGTGTTGTGCTTCATGTTCTCTGCATTTACTACTAATCACTATGACCCGTGATTCCCTCCATTAGCAAATGAGGGAGTGAAGGCACAAAACAGCACAATCACCTGGCCAAAGTCACCAAAGTGGTAAGAAGAGGTGCGGGGATTTGAACCATTGTCTGAACTAGTGACCTGCACTCTTGTGTCTCCAAGGGTCCCCAGCCCTGAAGTCTCTCCTGTCGGGAGCATCACCTAGGCCTTTCTACCTACCACGCTGTCCCCTCAATCCTTTTTACCTTCACTTCCTTCCTTGAAGTAGGGAGCAGTCAAGTCTAGAGTTAGCGAGGCTCACTGTCCCTGCCATGTGCCAGATCTTTACTGGGATAAAAGGACTAGTGTCCTCATTTGTAAGATGCGGGCCATCAGGTTGACCTCCCAGGCGTGTGGTGAGGCTGGTTCCATAAGACGATGATGAAGAAAGCCTCGAGTCCAGTCCCTGGGGGAATGCGTGTGTTCCACAAACCACAGGTGCATGGCCAGAAAGGGGATGCATTCAAACCAAGCCCCATGCTCTTCAAGAGTTTCTAGGCTGCTTTGGGTGTGGCTTGTCCCACTCTCGGAAGCAGAGTGTCCCAGCCTTTCAAAACGCAGCACATAAAACAAATTGCTGTATTAGTTCAGAGTGAGTTCATTAGAATAGACTTCCCGTGGGTGACCAGGGGCTGTGGAGAAATGAGGTCCTCCAACTCCCCCCACCTCACTTGCTGCATCAGAGGTGGGGGTAAATACAGTGGCACATGTGGGACCTGCTCAGACTCTCTCTGTGGCCCGTGAGCTGGAGAGCTCTGCAAACTCGCTGCGTGTGAGAATCACCTGGGGAGCTTTGCAAAGACCCTGCGGGCCGAGGTGTCCAGAGCAGCGACATCAGAACCTCTGTGGCGGCGAGGATCAGGCATCCATGCCTCTTAAAGTTCCCCAGGCGCTCCCGATGTGGAACCCAGTGGATCCAAGGACCCATCTCTTTAAAAACCTTCTCCTGTCTCCCCCAAAGGTGAGTGGGACAGCTCTCCCAAAGCTGAGGCCATCAGTTACGTGTAGTAACTGGCTCACAAGGTAGGGGCTCCTTGGAGTCATTTGAAAGTAGGGCCGGTAAAACTCCAGACCCAACAATTAACTTTTGCCATCAAGGAATGGGAAGGTGAGGAGAGGCTTGCCACAAGTTTATTAAAGAGGACGCCCGGTCATTGTTTCCCTCTGACACTGGCAGAACTCCTCTCTCCAAGAATGATATGCACAATCATTTTCTGCAATTCAGTCATGATTTTTGAGTACCTGCTGTCATGTATCCAAGGCCATGCTTGATGTCAGTGATGCAAAGTTGAATAAATCACCCTTAAAAAACTGAGGTGTGTATGTGAGGAGCAGAGAAATGACAGTGTGTGACTTAAGAATTGGAATCAGGGCTATGAGAAGTCAAGGAAATGCTGCCTCACCTAATTTAAAGGGAATGGTTCCCTGAGATAGTGATGTTTCAACTGGGTTTTGAGGGATGTCTAGGAGTCATCTGGGCTGGCAAGATTTTTGGTTGATGCCAGGCTTGGGAAAGAGTGAGGAGCTGGGTAAATGGAGAGAGAAACAAGCTGAATCTTCAGGGGTCTAGAATGCCAGGCTTACATTGGACTTTACAGTGTAGGGCATGAGGAGCCCCTGAAAGACAAGATGTGTGATCAGTCTTCACCGTTCTGCCGTTAATCAAAACTAACCTAAGCATCTAAAGTAACGGATGATCGTGACACACTTAAAGGATTTAACCAGAGCTACGTACAACATACAAAGCAAATAGCCCCATACCATTTATCTGAAGTTTAAACACACACACACACACACACACACACACACACAGTGTGTTCCTTTGAGTTACCTGCTATGTATAGTAAAACATCCAGCCTCATGCCTGGAAATGATAAGCAACAATTTCTGGATGGTGGTTCTCTCTGGGGAAGGAGGGAAGACTTGAAATCAGGGAGGGATAGATAAGACGGTTCAGTTCTACCATAAACTTTTCTTCCTTGAACAGTAAAAAGATCTGAGGCCAATGGCAAAATGTTAAGATGTGTTCAAAGCAGGTGGTTAAAACCAGGGCATGCGGGGCGCCTGGGTGGCTTAGTCGGTTAGGCGTCCGACTTTCACTTAGGTCATGATCTCGCGGTTCGTGGGTTCGGGCCCCGCGTCGGGCTCTGTGCTGACTGCCAGCTCGGGGCCTGGAGCCTGTTTCAGAGTCTGTGTCTCCCTCTCTCTCTGACCCTCCCCTGCTCACGCTGTCTCTCTCTCTCTCCTGGAAATAGATAAAACATTAAAAAAAAATTTAGAAAAAAAAAAAAAAAAAAAAAAAAAAACCAGGGCATGCATTCTATTGCTTCCCCTAACTTTCCGTCTGTTAAAAACATTCCTAGTAAAAATAGTTTGAAAACAGAATCAGCAGTTCAATACTGTTTCCCTTGAAACCGCCCTCCCCCACTGAGTGCACCCATATGTTTTCCAGCACATGCATTTTGTGGAGACCTGTATCCAAAAAAAAAAAAAAAAAAAAAAAAAAAAAAAAAAAAAAAAAAAAAAAAAAAAAAAAAAAAAAAAAAAAAAAAAAAAAAAAAAAAAAAAAAGCTCTCCACAAAGAATCTCGGAACAATTCATTTCATGGGTTTTCAAACAAGTTTAAAGACACTCAGGGTAATAAAGATTTCTCTTAGGCTTTGAAATTTGCTCCTTGCTTTTTCTTTTGTTAGACATACTGCCATGGAAACAGGCATTGTCTTCAAAGCTCGGAGCCACACTCTGTGGTTCGAATGGGAGACTGAAACTATCTTCTGCCGACAAATAGATGGAGGATGAGGAAGATTTCACAGAAATAAAAGCCTTGATGCACGTCATTAAAATAACCACAGTCGTGGCAACTTCTATCTGCCACATGTCCACTGCGTTTCGGGACATGTAGGAGCTCGTGAAATCTTCCCCAGTCACGTGCTGTTTCCACATCACAAGTGAGGAATGGAGGCTCAGAGAAGTAGGGGCCTGACTGATCTCACATCGGAAATATGTGGTAGAGGCCAGACCTGAGCCTGCTGCCACCTGCCCCAAAGGAATGACATCCCTAACCAGCGTCGTGGCTTGTAAGACTTTGGTCATTTGTTTAGAGTGAGTCCCCCCTGAGTGACATGATGTTTTCTGACAATTAAGTGTTTTCTGACACTGTGCCGGGCGTGCTAAGAGTCAAGACAGATCAAGCATCAAATCTTTATTTGGAGAATGATTTAGATGGATTGGCCCAAGCATCCGAGACAGGGAGGGCACGTGGGCTTGGGTTCTGAATTTTCCAGAGAAGTAGTAAGTTCGTATTGTTTGGGAAAACCCCCAAGAGTTAACATTTGACAGCAAATTCAAATTGCTTTCAATACACGTTTTCAATAAAACAAATCTGGAGGCCATGCCAGGTGCCCATTTGCAAACTCAGATTTGTGGCATGGGTGAACCCAGATGATTTCTAAGCAGGGAAATCTGTGATCTGTCTGCTGTCAACTTCCCACAAAACATCAGGAAAAAACCCGTTGAGAAAGCAAAACTAAGTTTAGTAGGCCCTACCGCAGAAGGGGAGTAGCAGTGTGACAGAATTTTGGGGGTGT